TGTTTTGAATAGCCTCCTCCCCATGTTACTTGTAATGTTGGCAAATCAGGCAGAATGTGACCCCTTCTGTTCAGCACCCTGAGAGACAGTTTCTCAGGACTCAAATTGCCATGAGCCTCTCATGATGTCTTTAAGGTGTGTCCATCTGAGGTCTTGCAGGTACCTCAGACCTAAACACGTATAAAGCCTAGGTCTTCAACTCTCTTCTCCCTAACAAAATGCCAATCAACGCTTTCTCCTATGTTTCCTCTCTCAGCAGAAGGTACCAGCATCCTTCCTTCAGCCAAGTTGAAAATCGAGGAGTCATCTTAGACTCTTTCATCTTTCTCATCTGTTTCATGAAGTCTGTCTCCTAAATACTTTCCCAATTATTCTGTCCCTTTAGTTCCCCAGTGCCCCTGCCCTGATTCAGGCTCTCATTCTTTCTCTTCCAGAATTTGGAAATATCTGATATTTTTGTCCTTATCAGGATCATTTTCTTCTTCTGCTCTGTCAACAGTGTTGTATCTTAAATGGAAATCTGACCAGTGAGGACAATGAAATAAAAATCTCATGGGGGGTGTAGGGATCCCATGGGCGCCTGAACAGGGACACACCCTGGCAATATGGCGCCCTTCCTGGTTCTTCTCCGCAGTAGACAAGCCCGCTGGCGCCAACACCCAAGCCCACCCGCGCCAAACCTCAGCCAGTCACAGGTCAAGGCTCACCTCCTGCCCAGCCCCGTCCAATCAGTTACCGCCCTGTCCACTCTCTTTCCCGCCCCGGAGCACAGCACCCTATAAATGTACGCGAAGTCCTTGAATAAAGCAGAACTTCTCTGGCGAACTGTTAGCCCGGGTCTCGTGTGATTCCTTTGTCCGTGCGCAGTCCTTGAATAAAGCAGAACCTCTTTGGCGAACTGTTAGCCCGGGTCTCGCATGATTCCTTTGTCCGTGCGTCCCCTTCAGGGGGAGTGGTGGATGAAGATCATTATTTCTTGTAAGATCTGCAGGATATTATAATATGTGGCAGGGTTGAAGTCCTTGAATAAAGCAGAACTTCTCTGGCGAACTGTTAGCCCGGGTCTCGTGTGATTCCTTTGTCCGTGCGTCCCCTTCAGGGGGAGCGGTGGATGAAGATCATTATTTCTTGTAAGATCTGCAGGATATTATAATATGTGGCAGGGTTGAGAACTAATGCTGGGCTGGAAACATTTCGAATGTCTTAGCCAGATAAACAAGGTCTTCATAACCTTGGACTTCTGTCACTTCTGTTTCTGACTTTTATAACAAATAACCACAAACTACTTGTACTTCCACTTGCTTTCATACTGTTGTGTATCATTTCTTGGTTTTGTGCGTGCCTATGGGGATTCCTCCATCAGAAATGTGCCGGAAATATACAAACTATGTAAAGCACTGTCCCTACTGGGAACCATATCATTTGATTCCTTGTCTTGGTAAGGGTTGAGTTGATCCTTGCAAACCTCCAAAATGATTTGGGGCATCCAAACTTCCCTGTATTCCCTCCCGCTTTCTTTCCTGTTATCTTCCTTGCACCCAACCCAACTGCAAGTCCTAGGAATCTCTAATAATCAGGATGGTATAATCAGATCTACTTTTTGAGATGCAGATCTTCACAGTCTGAAACGTAGTTTCACATTCTGCCCTGGAGTAAATCTGCACTAGAACTGTGCTACAACAGCCTCCACATACCTTGCCTCTCACAAGGGCAGTAGGTAGTGGTATTCAGGTAGACGTGCAGATTATAAAAGGCTTTTAAACGTTGTATCTCAATTTGATCCTCACCATGCCCTGTGGACTAGGCAGGGAGCTATTACTCCTTCACTTTACAGATGCTGAGAAGGAGGGTTTTTTTGGTGGTGGTTGTTGTGTTTGTTTTAGCACTTATCAATCTGTCTTACATGTGTGCATTGGATTCTACAGACTATGTCTTGGTAGGATCCACAATGCACATCTCTAGTACTGTAACCCACTTGAATTTATGGTTGGCTACTTATATTTAAAGGGGCTTGGGTGTGGTTTATTTTTGTTTTTAAAAGCGCAGGAGAAAATCCACCGTTTTGATTTCATAATATTTTTTTCACTATGATTTAGGAGCCGAATCACCTTGGAATTTCCCAAGCCATCTTCTCCCCTTCTGTAGTGCATTCTCATCTTTTGGTCAGTTTGATCCTTGACACCTCCGTGAAAAAGAAAGGAAGGGAGAAGAGGGGAAAATTCCGTATGATTGGTTTTAGGTGTTGATCTTCCAAGACCTGTACTGTGATCGACTGAGTCCTGAAGATCCAAACACAGAGAGTTGGGGCTGTGGTTGGGCCTAATCAAAGTATTAAAAACAGTCCCTTTCAGTGAAGAAGCAGGAGGACTCTGAGTTCCTCAATGAAGTGTCCACATGTATTAGCTTCTGTGTCAGGCTGTGGTGTTTCCCACTTCCCGTCTCCAATCTAGCAGGGCTCCTTGCATTTTTTGGTCTAAAAGAAAGGCCCATGGGCTAATTTCTAAGTCCATGGCTCTTTTTAAAAAAGATTTTGCTCTTTTTGAATTTAAAGAAATTATAAACAATACGTGACTGTATTTGAATCCTCTTACTTTTTGTAAAAGTCAAGCAGCTTGAGCAAGTACATCCAAATAAGGATGTTCTCTTCTGCTGCCCAAAAAGAGAAAAACATAATTTTATTTAAAATATATCTATTGAGATGCATGTTGCTGGTATCTAATCAAGCTCTAAATCTGAGCTCAATTAGAGCTTTGATAAAAGAAAGGGGAAAGGAAATTTGAAAGAATGCTCTTCCATTCATGAAGGGCCTGTGTGTTTTAAGTTTCCATGTAAGTGGAATAATGGGACCATGCATTTTCCATCCAAGCCTGAGAATAATTCTCTTCCTGGCTTCTCAATGAATAATGCATTATTTCTGAAACCCAAGAGGCATTCCTTTGATTTTCCTTTATGTTTAGTTTTCTGAGTATTTTTCAAGCAAGGAAATTCAAGGACTTGGAATGAATGCTTTATTAACATTTTTATTGAAGTTCAAATAGCTCCTTGGCTATTATCTCCTGATATTTGAAATTTTTTTTTGCTCTCTAAGGAAAGTCTAAGGTACTGTATTTATTTGAAAATGAAGTACCTTGGACACCCTTCAAAGTGAACAGCAGTTTAAAACCAATACACGTTTGTTGTGTAGAACAAAGAGATTTTGGGGGGTACTTTTCTCCCTTCTTTATTTTCATCCCCCCGCTGAAAACATTCAAAAAAGAAAGTTCACATTCAAAACTGGGCTGTTCAGAGACTAAATCTAGTTTGTTTATATTTTGTGAAACTTATTCCTTGAGGTTAGACCAAATCCACAATCTCAGTCCAAGTCTGCTTCCACCAAGGCCAGCGCCATTTAAATCCGAAGAGTCAAGTGTACTTCTGGGTTCATCCCTATTTCCTCTCTGCTCATTATGTGGCCTGATCACACATATGGGGCCCATTAGGTGAGGTCTAGTGGGACAGACATGATGGTGCCCACCGGTCCTGATGGCTCACGTCCTTTCAGTTGAGTCTCCCCAGCAGATCCTGAGGTAACATGGTGGTAGGTTTTAATGATATTTCACAGCCTCCATTTTCCCTGGGATCCAAATGACAAGCAATTCCAAGAATGAACTAAAATGGAATTAAGAAGATAGTCTATATTTCCTTTTTTCTTATAGTGCAATCTTAAGGATTCAGAATAATTGAGGGAAGAAAGAGAACAAAGTTGATCTAAATTAGTAAAACATCTAAAGCAGAAAAACTGGTTTACAATATTTAATTTTATTAGTTTCAAGAAGTGGAAGTATAATGTGTTTTCTGGAGTATGGATTCTGAAGCCTCTAAGAGCAGAAACTCTGGGATTTGTCTCTTGTCTGCCACTGTCAAGTACTGTGGCCTTGAGTATTATTTAAGCTTTCTGGGTCTCGGTTTCTTCATCTGTATAATGGGGATATTAGTTTCTATGTCATATGACTATTGTAAAGATTAAGTGAGTTATTATTTGTAAGGTATATAGAAAAGTACTATGTAAGTGATTGTTGAATAAAATAAAACATACATCTTATCATTGGAAATTGCTATTTCTAAACAGGCCTATGCTACTGAGCAGGTATAACATTATTATTGTTATTGTTAATATATGTGTATAATGAGTTCTTGTTTTCTTGGCACTTATTTAACCCTTACAAAACACCTCATGGGGTATAAATATAATCATCTCTATTTTTTCTGATGAGAAAACAGGTATGGAAGTAATTTGCCTAAGTTCACCCAATTTATTAAACAGCAGAACAAGGATTTGAGCCCAGCCAATTTGAATCCAGTAACTGTGCCTTAACTAAACATTAAAGGACACTTATCGTTAGTGCTTATCTTTCGCCTGAAGACAACTCTTTGCTGTTAAAAATCGTGTCTTTATAAGAGGTGAAGTGTGTATCCTGAATGTAGTTTTTCATGTCTCAGTTGCTTATCAAACTCGTTGTGTTTTGTTCAAAAAAATCATCATCAATGTCTCATAAATACTCAATTTTAGTAAGATCTCAATTAATGTTTTATTAAGTTGATTAAAATTTTTTCTGGGCCGGCCCGGTGGCGCACTGGAGAGTGCGCCGCTTGGGAGTGTGGCGGCACTCCCGCCGAGGGCTTGGATCCCATGTGGAGACCGGTTCCCGCTCACTGGCTGAGCGTGGTGCAGGTGCAACACCAAGGGTTGCGATCCAGTTGCCGGTCCCTGGTACGGGCGCGACACCGAGGGTTGTGATCCCGTTACCGGTCAGTAAAAAAGACAAAAAGGAAAAAAAAAATTTTTCTGATTATTTGAGAAAATGAACATTTCATTTACAGTGATGATTGATTGGTGGCATCCAATCAGTGTCTTTGTATTGAACTGAAGTCATTTCACTTTTTGGTTGCATGTTTCCTCATGATATTTTTTCATTCTCTCTTTTTCTGAATCCTCCCAATCCCCGCCCCTGTTCTTGTAGGTGCCTTTATCGTCTGCTGGACTCCGGGATTGGTCTTGCTACTGCTAGATGTGTGCTGTCCGCAGTGTGATGTGCTGGCCTATGAGAAATTTATCCTTCTCCTTGCTGAATTCAACTCTGCCATGAACCCCATCATCTACTCCTACCGCGACAAGGAGATGAGTGCCACCTTCAGACAGATCCTCTGCTGCCAGCGCAGTGACACCACCAGCGGCCCCACGGAAGGCTCAGACCGTTCAGCTTCCTCCCTCAACCACACCATCCTGGCTGGAGTTCACAGCAATGACCACTCTGTGGTTTAGAAAGGAAACTAAGGTGAAGAGCCAGCCTTCCTCTATTGAAGGATGAACAGCCTCCTCCTACCCAATGGCCAGGGCAAGGAGGGGGACGAGAGGAGAAAAATAAACTCACGCACTTAAACACTAACCAATGGCAGTATTTGTTCCTAGACCCCACAAGACTTGATATGTATTGGAAATTAGCTTATGTGACAACCCTCCACCTGGTCCCCATTGCGTTTGAAAGTAGAAGGCAGAGTTCTTGCAATGGAATTCAAGGATAGACGCTGGAGTGTCCATTTAGACTACACTAACTAGACTTTAAAAGATGTTGTGTGGTTTGGTGCAAGTCAGAATAAATTCTGACTCATTGAATCCACAATTTCATTTACATAAGTCTTCCCTTTTTTATTTTTAAAGGATACATTTCCCTTAATAAACACGTTTATGCCATTAGCATGTTTGCGATGGGTAAGACTATAGACTGTTTTTAAACTACCGTAATTCCATTTTTTTTCCCTATGTAGGAAAACTGTAAATTAGGATTATTTTTTGTTTAGAAAGCATGCATGTAATGTATGTATGCAGTATGCCTTATTTAAAAAGATAAAAGGGTACTAATTTAAAATCTTCTAGGAAATAGAAGAACCTACATGTCATAGCCAGTATTTGTTTAGGTTATAAAACAAACAATGCTCTAATCAAAATGCTGCCTTTTTATTCAAGTGTGTATAAGTATAAAGCAAACAAGGAATCTAAGTTTATCACCAAAAGAATATGTATCCTAAAAATGTCACCGAAGATGACCTATGGTAATATTGTTTTCACATATAAAATACCCAATTGCATTTTAATTTACAGTACATCAGAGGAAATTTTTAATAGCCTGTGTTATCCTGAATTATAAAATACATACACATTGTAGAAAACTTGAAAAATGCAGAAATGTATAAAAAGAAAAAAATGATTACTGATAATATCACAACCCAGAAGTAACCACCTTTAACAGCCCCCCCACCCCATGTATGTCTATATGTGTATTATATGATTTTTTACATAATTGGGATCATACTGTAAAAGTTTTGTAACTAGTTTTTTTTTTTAAGTGCAAAATTGCCACATTTTACTATGGCATTAAAAATTTTACAAAAACAATTTTAATGGCTATATAATATTCCATTTAATGGATGCAACTCAGTTTATTTAACCATTCCCATTTAACCATGTTGACTGTTTAGGTTATTTCTAATTTTCACCGTTATAAAGTTGCAAAAATGTTGTGTACATAAAACTTTGTCCATATAATTGATTATTTACTTAGGACAGATTCCCATGAAGGATTTTTTTAAAAATGTGAATTGTCTTCTTATGCTTTTACCTTTTATAAAAAGGGATTTCTTCTTTTATACCGCATGGATGGCAGTTTGAGGAAAGCCATTTAAATTACCTTTGTACAAAAGAAATGCAGTGGTTACTTTAGTTGAGAGTGACTTTTTAATATAATAGATGGGCTAGAAACAGTCAGTTATCGCAGTGACCAAGACACCCTAATATATCTAGCAATTCCAAATTTTGTTTGAGGGACCAGTTACCCAGCTTTTGGTAGCCACAACTGAATGTAGAATTGAAGCAAATGCAAAGATATCAAATGTGCCCAGTGAACAAAAGATGGTCATGTTAAATGTCTTGGGGCCCTTCTATAGCAAATGGGTCGAGTGTGTTAGTATGGGATTGGCTAGTGTGTGTTCTCCAGGAATCACCCTGATAGACTGCAACCAGGTAGGTGATACCTGTTTAATCCACTGTCCAGGTAAACTAGTCATTGCATCAATTTGTTGTAGCAAGTAACCAGGGAAGTAACACAGTCATGAAGCAAGTTTGAGGAGGTCAGGAGGACGTCTGAGAGAGAAAAGTCCAGAAAGAATGGCTGTCTAGGATGGAGGAAGTCAGTATACAGTCAGCGTGTGAGCAGAGGGCAGACTTGTGAAGCACCTGCAGTGAAAAGAATGTGGGGAACCAGTTAACAGAGAGGTGTGTGCATATACTTTACACGAAGGACAGAACATTTTATATTGGAAGTGAAAGAAAAGAACTTGGACTTTTACCTGTATGCATATTTTCCGGAGGAGATATGGACTATTTGAAACTAAAAGCATACTAATTGGACCTTAATAAATCATTCTGAAGCAGTGTCTGGTAACGTGTGGTTCTGGCCAGTGCTGTTTCTCCAGCTTGCCTTGCACGGAGCTCTCCCTGTGTGATCTTCTCTATCTCCCTGCTATGATGGCTGCTGAACTCTGAGGGAAGGCAACCATATGCTTTTTCCACCCTGCGTACTAAGTCTTTCAAGTTTCCAGAAGATGGTGGTTTATGTTCCGTGAAAGGAGGGACAGTGTGTTAGGACAGTATCTCAACAGGATAACAGCTGGAGTGAGTTTCTTCTTTGGAAATCTCTGATTTTATAATAACTTTATGAAAAACTCTCACTAGGAGTTTATGAAGTCACAGTGGTCTTTGTGCTTATCACTGATCTGATAAAAGTGATGTGTGTCTTCCAACTATCTGCTAATTATAATCTTTTCATATATTACTAAGGTATTGGAAAAAAGATAAAATGTTGATTCAAATAAATGTCCCAATGAGTATGTGGCTGAGAATTCTGAACCTTTAGATTTGTGTGCATGTGGACTGTTAGAAATCAAATATCTTTGAACTCATCTTTACAAATTAGCCACTTCCTCACGTATTTTTTTATTTGTAGAACAGTAATTTACTAGCCTCATAACCTCAGCTAATGTTATACAGTTAGTTAGTGAGTCTTATTGGTCTTCCCATTCTGTTTCCCAGTTAACTATTGCTTTTGGTTACACTGTTGATCTTCCTCCTAATTTATTCCAGTAGTCTCTCAACTTCTGAAATATTGTAATTTTGTAATATTGTCTGTAGCCCTTCCCCTTAAACCCAGAGTGTGCACTCATGCTAGGTAAAAACCGTAGAAACACTTCTTCAGTCAGGTCGCTTCACTGTGACCAGGTAAGCAAAACATTTTTATGAAAAGACCTTTCAAAACAATTACCTATTTTTGTAACACCATGTAAGTTTCACCTGATCCCAAACCCTCATTAAAAATTAGGGTTTATTTGTGGGTTAAGATGGTGGCTTGTGAATGGGGTTGGACTTAGGCACCATTGTGTCTAGGAGCCAGAATGTGTCAGGAATCTTCCTAAGCATGGTCCATTCACACTCTAGCATTAACCTGTGTCTTGTATAGTCTTCATAGCAAATTCTCTAACTCTTCCCTTAAAGTTATAAAGCTCATATTCACAGATTATTTGCTAATAATCTGTTTAATATGACGTGTAATGAACCATTCGAAAATATAAAGCAGGAGTTGGCAAACTAAGGACCATTGGCCAAATCCATCTATTTTTGTGTGACCTACAAGCTGAGGACAGGTTTTTGTATTAATTGTTGGGAAAAGAATATTTCGTGACACATGAAAATCATATCAAATTCAAATTTCACTGTGCATAAAAAGTTCTATTGGAATAAAGCCATACTCATTCGTTTACCATCAATGGCTGCTTTTGTCCTACTAGGGCAGAGGGGATTGTTGCAGCAGGGACTGTATGGCCCTCAAAGTCTAAAATATTTACTATCTGGCTCTTTAAAGAAAAAGTTTGCCAGCCTTTGATTTAGAGATTCCATTTTCGATCATGCTATCCCGCTTTGATTATGGATGTTCACTAGAAAAGAAAGAAGGAGAAATTGGACACATGATCTCTTAATCCAGCTCTAGCCTACAGAGAAAATTCTCAATTGAATTTTTTTATACTAAAGGTAATTTTTATTTTGAAACAATTTCAAACTTATGGAAAAGCTTACCAAATTTACAGAATATTTTCTGTGAACCATTTGTAAGTTGCCAACCCCCGAAGACTTTACAATGTAATTCTTACAGACAAGAACTTTCCCCTTCATAACCTCAATACAACCATTAAAAATCAGGAAATCAACATTGATACAGCAACTATTGTTTAATTCACAGACCCCAGTCAAGTTTCACCAGTTTGTCCCAAAAGAACCCGACAAGAACTTTCCCCTTCATAACCTCAATACAACCATTAAAAATCAGGAAATCAACATTGATATAGCAACTATTGTTTAATTCACAGACCCCAGTCAAGTTTCACCAGTTTGTCCCAAAAGAACCCAGTCCAGGATGACTGGTTGTATTTAGTTGTCATGTCTCTTAAGTCTTCTTTAATCTTGAGCAGTCCCTCAGTCTTTTCTTGATCTTTATGACCTTGTCACTTAAAGGTCACAGGTCAGTCATTTTGTAGAATGTTCGATTTGGGTTTGACATTTCTTCATGATTAGATTCATATCACTTATCTTTGGAAAAATATGACAGAAGTGCAGTTGTGGTTCTCTTCACTGCGTGCTGTCAAGCAGCACATGATGTTGGTTTGCTCCTGTTACTGGTGAAGTTAACTGATTACTTGACGAAGGTGGTATCTGCCCTATTTCTCCACTGTGAATAAAATTATTTCTTTTCCTTTTTAATAAGCATTTCGTAGAGGGATACTTCACACTGTGTAAACATTCTGTTCCTCATCAAATTTTAATGTCTAATTTTGGCATCTGTTGATATTTTTGGATGGATTAATCATTATTCTGGTGATTGCCAAGTGATGAATTTCTAAGTTTTTCCTTCAAATTTTATTAGTTAGCATTCTTCTGGGAGAAAAAGCTTTGTCTTCTCCCATTTATTCATTATTTATACGAATATGGACTCATGGATTCCTCTTTTATTCAACTGGTTATAATGTCACTATCATTTTTTTCAATTAAACTTTTGTTTTTGAGATAATTTTAGGTTCACATGCAGTTCTGAGAAATAATATGAAGAGATCCCTTGTACTCTTTACCTAGTTTTCCCCAATGGCAGTATCTTTCAAAACCATAGTATAACATTACAACCAGGATATGGACATTGATACAATCAAGGTATAGAACAGTTCCATCACCGTAGAAATCCCTCCTGTTGTACTTTATAGCTACACTCATCTCCCGTACTCCCATCCTGACTCCCCTAACAACCACTAATCTGTTCCCCATTTCTTCAATTACATTTAACAAATTTTTTTGCTGAAACTCCATAACAATGGTTTTCAGGGTGCAGGGCTGATATTTCCCTAGAGGTTATTATATATAGAAAGGTACATATATATGTGTATTTTTTATGTATATATAAAAACGTGTGTATGTATATATTGTATGTGTGCGTGTATATATATAGAGAGACAGACACTACATGTATAGACTATATAATAAGCTATTACATAGTCTATTCCCATTGGCATCATGGAAGCCAGACTTCAGTTTGCTTTGTATGACCCTGTTTACCATTTGTTTGCATCTTACCTCTTAACTTGCAACTTTCTTTCAGGAAAGGAATCTTACTTTGTATTCTCCACCTCACATAACACAGTGCTAAGTAGTACTTAATACTTGCATATTTAAAAGAAATAAAATGTGTGGGCCACAGTAAAGGTATTCTTGGCCAAGAAATGCTCCTTAATTCCACAGCCCTGATAAAGGGTTTCCTTCATGTTTAAGAATATTACAGTTAAGTAGAAATAATGAAAAACTGAGGTCAAGTCCTTTGAATGATCAATCTTAGTTGTTTTCTGAGTGGTCTTGCTTATTTTGATATTCTTTGGGAAGATTTTTAATAGTATTACTATGTTGCATTTGTAATGTGATCTACAGCTTACAGAAAACATTCATAGAATTTGTATTTTGATCCTTGCAATGACTCTGTTACATGAGGAAACTGAGTCTCAGAAGAAAAATTGGGGGTCCAATATTTGTTGCCTATAGCATTATTTGATGCCTAAATACATATTCTTTATATTGTAACCCACAATACCTTACACGTATTATTTATGTTTCTTGGCTCCCTAAACATAAATGAGTTCCTTGAGGAGAGGCACAATGTGTTATATATTTTTAATCATTCAAAGAACTTAACACAGTAAAAGTCATAGAGGAGAACACGATGCCATGAACAGGTGCATGAACTGTCTTGTTTGGTGTTAATGTTATTGTAGGCATTCCTATATCCCGGGCTAATTAATAAGTTCTTTGAGCACAAGAAATCTTGTGCTTTCTATCTCCTTTTTATGATTCAAATGACTGGAACAAAAGTAGAAATATGGTGCCATTTTTCATATAGTTCTGACTGAGAATTAGGCCATAATTAGGTGTAACAGTTGTTGTCACTCACTCTTTGACTTATGTATCCACAGATATTTTTGAAAGGATTCTGTATGCCAGGCCCTTATGATATTGGTGTGAATAGGATCTTTAATGGAGTTTAGAATTTAGTAGGAATAAGGGAGAAAACAGGGAGAAGAAAATAAGTTAAAATTACAAATTGTATTGAGTTATGAAGGGAGCAGTGTCAAGACATAGACAAAGTTTCTTAATTGATTTTACATATTCGTGGGGAACAGAGCTGAATGACATAGAAATTTAAGGAAAATAAAAGGAACGGCAGAAGGCAGAGAGAGGAACTGCCTTTGTTAGTGTAGGAAAGCTCCATTTTAGATGGGAACCCCCACCTTGAATCTGAGTTGCACAGAGGTGTGGCTGTGTCAAGCTCTTGAACCTGCACCCACTCGTATTCAGTGCACCCCAAAACAACCCATTAGAAAAATAGGCCTGCATCTAGCGTATGCAGATAGGAATTTCAGGCAAGATGTGTACATGCTTGGTGAGAGAAAGCATGCCACTTGGGAAAGAAGAGTAAGTATAGACTGTGAGAATGAGGCTTGAAAGACAGGCAGGATCATGACTGGACTGAAGTCATTTTATCCTTGAGAATTGTGGGGAATGAGGATCTAAGTTAAAGGATCTAAGATTTAAAAAAAATCTGGTTTACGCTTCAGAATAAATTGAAGAGAAGGAAGACTGAAGGAAGAGAAAAGGTCCGAGGCTGTCACATTCATTTTATCCTTGAGAATTGTGGGGAATGAGGATCTAAGTTAAAGGATCTAAGATTTAAAAAAAATCTGGTTTATGCTTCAGAATAAATTGAAGAGAAGGAAGACTGAAGGAAGAGAAAAGGTCCGAGGCTGTCACATACACTGAGATGAAAGATGAAGGTGACAGTGTGGGTGCAGAGAAGGTGATGGATGGGTTTGGGAGGTGTTTGGGACTTGTCACTTGTTTGGATAAGGGGGGTTACCCAAGATATGACCTTGACCACTGGATATGTGGGGACGTGATATGTTGAGATAAGGGTGAGGAGCAAGTTAATGAGTAAAGGTTGAGATATCTATGAGCCATCAAAGGTGAATTTTGCAGTAGGAACGTGGCTATGAAGCTCAGAATACTATCTCTGGACTGAAGATTTAGGTTTTGGAATCTGCTTTTTTCCTGCTGCCATCCTGCTGCATTCTTCCCCAGGATGGGAAATACAGAGCCTCTTATTGGCTCAAGTAAGAAGAAACGAATGGGATAAAACAAGGATAAATAAAAGAGCAAAACTTAATATCTGGATATATTATTCAGAAACGTGGATGTTTCTTTTCAACAAAATAAGGTTATCTATAAACAATGTATTTGATTTTTATACTTGCTGATACAA